GGAGCTGAAGTCCCAAGTTTGCCAAGTTTGAAGACCTTTGATCTAACTGGATGAAAGTCTCATCCTGTCCCCACCCCCTACCCCAATTTCCCTTTCCTCAGCAAAACCAAGACCCCAGCACGAGGTCGAACCTGGAGACGTTCCGCCTCCTCCACGCGAAGAACATTGTCCGTCCTCAGCTCAAGTTCCGTGAGAAGGTGGACAACTCCAACACCCCATTTGTGGCCAAGCTCTTCGTCAAGCCCAACGCTCTGAGGCCCTTGCCCAAAGGTGCGAGGGAAGAGGGGAGGAATGTGAGGTTGGACAGACAGATCTACCGTGTGGCTGGCTGCTCCTTCCAGCGGCAACAGGCTGGGGAATAACCAGCCACCCTGAGAGCACTGGTGTGTGTGCGGGGTGGCTGGGTCTTAGCGCTTGGTTTCCCCTCTCTCCAGCACTCCTGAAGAGCCGTCAAGAGCGGAAGGAGCGTCCGGAAGATCTGGATGTCCCCGCGGCCCTGGCTGACTTCCTCCACCAGCAGAGAACCCAGCAGACGGAGCAGGACATGTAAGGACAAGGAAGTTTAATTGTATTTAATCGGGTAGCGCCGGGGTGGCGCAGTGGTCCGAATGCTGCATTGCAGGGAAAACTCTGCCCACTGCCAGCAGTTCGATCCTGACCGGCTCAAGATTGACTCAGCCTTCTGTCCTTCCGAGGTGGGTAAAATGAGGACCCGGATTGTTGGGGGCAAGAGGCCAACTCTAAACCGTTTAGAGAGGGCTGTTATTGCCATGGCTAGATGTGTTATGGCCGCCATTAATTTAATCTATTAAATTGGTTAAGACTTTGGGCAGCTTACAGAATTTTTAAAAAAACGATTAAAACAGTGGAAACCCACCTCAACAGACAGTGTTTCTTCTAGCATTCCTTCGCATCTGCATCTCCCATAAAACCTGCAACAAATTCAGAGAAGCCTTCCCTTTGGAATTCTGGGAGATTCTTTAAATTATGTAGCCATAAATCTCCCATAGCTTGACTCCGGGCAGCTGTATACCTCAAACAAATAGGTTTTAGTCCCAAGACATCCAAATATAGAAAGTTTGAGACTCAACCTACCGACTTGGTTGTCTTCATTTATTCCTGGTACTGCCGTTGGCTGGTTTCTTCATGAGTTAAGAATCACAACCTTAGTTCCTGATTGTACTTTTCTTCCGGATTCTTGTAGGTTTGCTCATCCTTATCGGTATGAGCTGGAACATTTTTCAGTGCCAGCAGAATGTCTCGAAAAGCCTCAGGTCCAGGTGAGCGTTGGGCCAAATCTTCC